AATATCAAATGGGCTTGTATGATCGTTCATTTGAGAATTGACCTCTTGATTTGACAACGACATCATAAAGTAGCACACAAATTTTTTACAACTGAAGGCAACGGGGGTAAGGTGAGAAGGTGAAGAGAATTCCACTATGGAATTAGTGTATGCGTGTTGAGTATGATTCTTTTGCAAAAAATACACAAAGATTTTGGTATATCTGCGAATGAAATCTTCTCATACTCCAAGCAAAGGGATGTGTTAAAAGCAAGGCTCTTCAAATTCTATATATGTCGTGCCATCGGCTCATTTTGAACGCAATTCACGCTATTATCATCAGTTTTGTAAAAACTACTTCACATTCTTTTAAATTTAAAAGGAAAAAACTACACATGAACATATTTTGCTACGCGATGCTGTTTCAAAGCATTTTGACATCATTTTTCTTTTAAACGAGTTAATTTGAGGTTCAACTAACTTTGTATCCATGTAAAGTATACTTATGCAGTTTAATATTTTTGAATTTGGGTCAAATCAACAACAAAAATAATGGCTTAATCCACATTTAGCAATCGGTTCATATCAAATTCCAGCAATGGTCAAACCAAACTTCTCCAACGCAGGCAATTATTCAAAATGCATTAAAAATCCCCAACCGAATGAGTTGCGGTTAATTTCGATAGCGGCTACGTTGTCCATACAAGACAAATTAAATCTCTCTTTGCTATTGCTCGTTTTAAATGTAGTAATTCATTTATATGTCAACTGCATATACGCTTGCAAATAGAGAATCAATTCGATCTGCTTCTTCGGCGTAAAATGTTCGAGTGGTGGTACACGACGATGGTAATCGAGGTTGTCCTTCGGAAAGTTAAATATGTAATTTATAGCAAAAGTTTAAGGTTCAAATAAATCATTAAGTTTCGTTTGGATTTTCTATATCAGAGCACACACTCGGAAAAACCGCTGCACATTTTCACGTTAAAAGCACTCAAATTTGTCTCTTGGCAATAGCAGCAGAGAAGTGTTGATTATCCCTTCAACTGTCAAACGGAATATAAAAAGTTTGAAATTTGCTATAAAATGTGTTGCAATAAAAGTGAAAGAAAAAGTTAATCGACCATGATGCTAATTTGGGTAAAAATCGGTCGCGCAAATGACAAAATGAAAATATGTATGAATCAATAAAAAAAACTAGGCAGTCCAAAGTTTGCTAGGCCGAAGTAACTTTTACGAGTACTGTTTTCATGGGCAACGGATTTCTGTATTCATTCCATAAATTTAAAACTGCTGACAGCTAATTCATTTGAAGCCATTACACACATTTTCATGCAATATGCATGTATTCTCATCGGTTTAATCGGCTTATCTCTCTCGCAAAACTTTTCAAAATTATATCACAGCTCTATCGATCCAAATCGAAATGGTCATTGAACTTCGTTTTACAAGAATAGAACGATATGGTTTCATTGAATTAATTTCATGGTGAATGTCTACGTTGTGGTAGAAAGAGAGAAGGCGGAGAATTTCAACGTTCTGGCATTGATTCGCCACTGAGAAGCAGTAAAAGTGTTTGGAAAATACACTCTCGCCGAATATTCATTTCTAATTGTTATTTCATTACATTAATGGAATATGTCTACATGGTCGTCTTTGAATAAAAAAAGTTATTTACGACGTCCACATTCATAACGTTTATTGAAATTGCGTTTTTTTAATAAAAAATTGCAAATCAAGGCAGTATGAGTTACAAATAGTATTCGCAGAAGGAGTTGTTTTATGTTTATTGCTTGCGGTTGATTTTGGTTGACTTTCAAAAATTACATAAAAATTGATTCTTAAAAAAAATCATGATGAAGTTATGACAAACACATTCTTTTTCTAAACAAATTTCAGTTGAACTCTCATATTTTAAATATTTCAGTTAATTGAAGCGAATCCAATAATTCAAATTACTTTATCTATTGATAATCAGACTATATTTCGTGTATAAAGCAATATATAAAAATCAACTAACAGCCAGACTTTGACTCCTATACAAAAAACACCGTATTCGAAGAAGGTGGTGAATGTCAAATGGTTTGAATCATTGAAGTCTGGCGGTGTGTATTTTGTATGGTTCCGTCATACCTTTAAAAAGAAAATCCAGAACATTTTTAGCAATAGACTGTTTTCTGTTAATCAAATCTGATTTTTATTTATGATGCGACAAACCTCCTAATGAGACTCATGGAAATGTCCATTTTCCACAGTCTACACAACATTGTTGAAAATTCAATAAAAATATAAAATTTTAAGATTAAATATTTCGGTGAACCGATTTTGTACAATAGATAACCGATTTTGTGAATACAAATTCTCCCGTGAAATTCGTTTCATATTTAGATGTTTTTACGACGTTTATTATTTGCTTTCACAATTCAAAATCTAATATTTTTTTTGGTCGCAATTTGTTGCGATGAAAATGTCCCTTTCTATTTGGGAAAAAAGGTCACCCAAAATAAGTTTATATTCAAATACCAATTTGTTTGGGTTGGCGAGTCTCGTCCGGAATTGTAGCAGATTCTTACTTTTGTTTGGTTTTTGTGCAGTCGTTGTATTCATTTCGTTCAAAAAATCATTAGTGAAAATGGTGTGTTTTTTTTCTCTTCTTCTGAACACACATATAACATAGCATAGAAAATGGGGAATACGTGCCTAACTTACGTGAGAAAGTGTAACGGAAGTACATGGTAAGGGTGTAACGACACCAAGTTATTGTTAGAGACAATGGAAATTTGTAATAGCACAAATTCAATAGGAAAAGGGATTTGACACGCAGCAAAATCACCAACTAAATACATTGTTCGCATGCAGTACCAATAAAAGCAAAGGTGTGGATGAGCTGTGGCAGAAGCGGACGCGTGAAAAGAGTGAAAGATGGAGCCGAAAAAAATAGAAGCTAAAACAATAATATTATGTAATTTATTGTTATTATTATGGTTATTATTATGTATTGGAAGAGATAATTCGTGCCTTGAATACAATATCCGAAATTCTTACAATTCATCTCCGACGGTGATGTTCATTCGACATACTTTCGATGCGTTAAAGCGCCTTCTCAATAAATATCTACACCGTTCGAGTCTCAGATCTGCAGTAGCAGCTTTATTCGACTCAATGTGTTTGTAGCATTGTGAATAATGAAATGTAAATGTATATTTGGCAAAACCTGCCAACATGAAGCCACTTTCACAAATACCTAAACACAGTTGTTTAGCCTATTATCCGCAAGAAAGAGAGAGAGAGAGAGAGAGAAATGTTGAAAATTTATTGGATTGCAAAACATTATGAACCAAATAAACTGGTGCACGAAAATACATCGCAAAACCGAAATACATTCACACTGTTAAAACACTGTTATATACAGACACACAAAGCTGAGATGTCGGTGATAAATAATGTTCATGGCAATTTTTTTTTCCTCGCAAAACAGTCGTTTTCGAATCATCTCGACCACAGCGATCTTATTCACAATGTGCTCGCTGGCTAACGAGAGAATTTACGTTATATACACAGGACAAACGGTGTATGAAAACGGTACAAAAACAAACAAAAAATCCGACATGAACATTCAGTCAGTCATTCTATTTCTCGATAGTAATGAAATTACATGAAATATGGTTGAAAACAAATAAAGACTGAAACATTCGTTGAATGCAAATGTTCGGTTTTGCGAATGGAAAAGTTAGAGCACACAACCGTCAAGTTAAGGTTAAGGCTACATCATTCAATAAATATCGAAGTGCATGAATTATTCAATATCACAAATAATAATATACCCAAATTAAACATTAAGACTATTTGATAACAACATTTTAATCAAAAATATTAGATTCAAAGTAAGAAAAATGCCATTAAAGCGGTGGAAGCAGTGAGGAATTGAAGAAATGTTTGATACTTTAGCAAATTGAATTTTTGAAATGGAGAATACTTTTTATTCTTTTCTTTCGAAATCAGCATTCTCTTTGAACTTTGGTTTTCATTGATTAAAAGAATTCCCAAGATAAATATGGAGATTCTATTTGATTTCCATTTAGGAAACACTATTAATAATATATTCTTCAAAAATGTTCTACTTTGCTTTTTTTGTGATATCTTAACATCGATATTTGTTGAAATTTACTTGTTATTTTTGTGCAAACATTTCAGTTTAATGAATGATAGTCATATTAAATATCGAAACATTTTTCTCACATCGAATTATTTATTCAATAATCAAGTTAAACTACAACAGAGTCTCAATTGAAAAACATAGACTTTCTGTTTGTTTGTCATTTGAAGCAATTGAATGTTGTGTATTCAATAAAAAACTTAGAACTTATTTATTTAAAACCAAAATGATTTGAAAAGAAAGTGATATTTATCACAAGTAGTTAGTATGTTTTTTTAATTTGATGAAGGTTCATTGTTTATTGGAACATTTTACAATTCTCATTAGTATTTTTAATTATGTCGTGATCGTGAACTTGAAATAATTTGAAGTCTCATTTGAAATAGACGCAGTTTGTATTCAATTTTGGGAAAACATAATCGTGATCGCAAATCGTTCGCTTCAAATTTCAAATTGCTACTCCATGTAGCAATTGTTACATTTCTATGTAAAAAAAGGTTTGAATTTTCGGTTGTGAAAAAAAACAACGACCAACTGAAAAAAAAAAACGAATCAAAGTCAGTTAACAGGATGTTGATCTCATAAAAAATGTAGTCTATACACAGATTGCATGAAGTCATGGATAATAATAATAAACATGGAAAATTGCCGACATATCAAATTTAAAGCAAACAAAGGTATTTCATAATTTTAATATTTGTGATTTGTATAAACAAAACCACCAAACATGATATTTGAATTTCGAATCAATAATAACGAAACTTTAAATAAACACACACACGAAAAAGTCACAATTGAGCTGATTCCAAAACGGACCCTATTTCTAAAGAAACAGAAGCACAATATATTGTTCTCTCATTTCATGTGCGTGTATTTGTTATGTCAAGGTATTTATGATTTCTGTGAGAGGAAAGTGAATTGAATTCCTTTAAACAGTTTGAGTGGTTCACGCAAGCAACACGGTTGTAATTCGTTAATCAGAAGATCCGTTGACTTGGAATAATTCCCGTTACTGTATCCAAACAAGCAGAAAACAATGAACGACACAAAGTCAGAAACCAATCGTCGCAAAGGTGTGATTTTTCTTAATATCAAGAAAAAAGTGAATTTTTAAATCAAATTTTTTTCATCATATTTAAATTTAAAAAAATGTGTTAAGTTTTTTTTATTCTTTACCGAGAGAAATTTTCAATCAGTGTTTTATTTAATTGTGTGTTTTGTTCATTTTTTTTCTCGATTAGATGGAGGTGATGAGAAACCACCACGTAGCAAGAAGGAATATCCGTCTCATTCCATGAGCCGTCGAAGCCAATCTGAACCGTCCGGTACACGGAACTCCGAAGTGGCTCCCAAGAAAAGTGCTTCAATGAAATCCAAGTAAAGGAATGCACATCATAACATCGAATGTTATTCATCGTCATGATGAAATCTTTGCAATTTTTCTGAACAAAATAAAATTCATTTGATTTTGCAACAACAAACTGACTTGTTTTGTAATTGCTTCAACTTTTAATGTGCTCAAGTTTTTGGATCTTCTTCATTTATTTCTTGATTAAAGAATTTAGCAAATAGAAGGTGTATCTCGTTCTCGTAAGTGTATCAATTCGATTTTATGATTTACATTTTTTTCATTAGCAAAATTTACAGGAAAATTGAATTAGGTGTGCGTTACGGTAGTGTATACATTGGTTTTGAACTTTCATTTAACATTCAACTGAAATTTTCATTTAAAACTAAATAATATTCCGATGTTCATAATTATCGCCTCTAGTGAATTGTGGCTCAAGTTTGTTCTGACGGACATATTGAAACATTCCTGATATGCATCAATTCTACACCATCGTCTTGCCATGTATCCAAACAAAAAACGAAGAAAAAAATCTAAGTGAAAGTTATATACTCTTTAAATTTACGAAAATGCAGATAGGATAAACATGAGAAATCGTGATCAGAATCACATAAGCTAGAATAAAAAAAAAAACATTTTTGTTTTCCTCGTTTTGCCATGTTTGTTTTATGTTGCATTCCTGAATTTTACGTTCATTTTTCGCATATGCAATTTTATGCTTTTATTTCTTTTCCTGTTTCAGTTCCATTCAAATGCATACACACACAAACTTTTGTTCATTACACATTCGCTACATGTGCACACATTTGGCGCTCGTGCGATTGTGTGATTGTGAGTGTGGTTGGGTAGCATGAAGCCACAGTAAAACACAGGAAAGGGAAATGCAAACGCATCAAATGTATTTTCTTTTTGAGTGGCAATAGCAACAACATCAATTCAAAATGTTGGAACATAAGAATGCTTTGCATTAGTTATCCCCCCGACCCACTCCACTGCAGCCATTTAAACTTGCCTTTGTGTGTGCATGTATGTGTTTGAAACAAAAAAAAATTGCGATGAATTTATGAACCGACTCTCGAATCGACGATTTCTCGAGTACAGCATTTAACGGTGGAAGGGAGAGAGAAAGCAAAAAAGTATTAATGCACTTCTGTGCATTTTTTTGCTATGGCAAAAGATAATCGATTGTTTTGAGTCAGCAATATAAATGCAATAGGCTGGAGTTTTATTGAAATTTTTTGAAATGCAATCGCAGCATGTTCACAAAATAAAACAAAATGATGATATCATCAACACACTTGAACACGAGGTAATTAAACGGCCAATGCACCTGAACGGAAAAAAAATATTCGCATTGTTTTTAATTGGTGCTCGAAACAAAAATGCAGACCGCGCACACTTTTGACTCTCAACGCATAAATCAACGACATACAAAAGTGATCTTTACGAGTGAGCCTCTCGCGCTCACGAAGGCAATGAACTTTCAAGTTGAAACTAGCAAATAGTAAGAAAACAATAACACGGGAAGATATGAAAAGATGAAGAGAAAAACCACAATAACAATTTACTCTTTCTACTTTCTGTAACATCTTTATATGTCATTTAATGTTCGGGTTCGGCGACATTTTTTTTTTAAATATATGTGTGTGTTTTTATAGTCTCTCTTACAAATTTACTTCATACATACAAAGTACGCTTATATGGGCGCACACGACATTCTCAATCCACACTTGATTCTCACACCGTTCACCACTTCGTGAAGCTGGCATTCAACTCTTGAACACGATTTTCACGAACCAATGAAGCGTGAATCCTTTTCGCGAACGCGAGCCTGACAAAGATGACAGAAAAACCACTTTTAAAACAAAATAACTGTGAAGAGCACGTATACACGATTCGCATAAGTGGATGTCGTATTGATTAAACTGAACTGCGAAAGACAATGACAAATGAAATGCATGCTACAAAAAAAAAGTTATATTATCACACAGAATGTCATCCATATACCCACTGATACATTAAATCAAGCCACTTTAATTGTTACAATTTAAAAAAAAGCGTCTTGCACTCCTAGCTCACTTAACTCCGAAGTGCTCCTCTTTCAGTGTGGCAAAAGAGTAAATGGAAAGGTGACGCATACTTTTCCGTTCTTCGTATAACTTTTATCTAATAAGAAAACCGCCGGTATTTGATAAAATATTTTCTTCAATCACGCCAGCCAAACCATTCACTACAAATATTTTTGCAATACTTATATTGCAGACAGCGCGCGCTGATATATGAAAATATTTATCAGATTTTATGAATTTATCAAATGCATCGACACCACTGCCAAGAATCAGTTCAAAAACCAAAAAGAATTTTTAATTTCAGCCGATATTCCGATGGATAAGATAAAAATATTTTTATATAAGCCGACACACCGCAAGTGAGAATGGACGGTGGCAGAAATCGAAAGCGGGTCGGTCCATGAACAGAAAATTTATATATATGAATGGAAAAGCAACATCAGATGGGAATCATCAAATTAAATTGGATGGACGCTGGTCCCACAGCTTGATTTTTATTAAAGCCACAAAAATGTCGAAAGTTTTCACTTCAGCAATAATTTAATGAATATTTCATTTTCATTGTCCCTTCTTTTTAAAAATTAAAAAAAAAATCGCTCAAATTCAGGATAACTCGATGCATTGTAAAAGAAATAATATAGAAAACAACAAATTTAATATTTTCTCTCCGCAAATTGCTTCTTTAATCAAGAAAATGTTTACACTTAACAATTACATCCTTTTCTATCGTGCAATTTCTGGAATTTTCAATTTTCTTTCTTTGCGTAAAATTGTATAGAAGGTATATATGAGCGAAACGGTATGCCATCGGTTTAACTTTAAGCCGATTTCCTTTGAGGCGATAACGGAAATTAATTTTTCGCCGTAAAACAATGTTATTGAAGTGGTATAGTACATATGCGTCTTCTTTTTTGTAAAATAAAGACTGTTGAGAGTGGAGTAATCACAGAATTTTTTATTTCACTCAGCAAATTTGCGTAATTTTCAATAGATGGCACTGAAGAGCACTCGAAACTATTGAGTTATATTTCATGTTTGTGTGGTTTGCTTCTATACTGTATTTCGACTCATTTCATTCAACTTTTTGTCTATCCATGTGTCATGAAACAACGTATGGAAAAAGCGGCATGATAATATAGCTTTCTAAGAACTTTTTAAATCAAAGATTATCTCCCAATTGTAAAATCCTTGGGAATATTTTCGCAAAGTGAAATCTGAATAGAATAATTAGGATCTTTTACTGTATTTTGCCTGAAATAGGCAACTTGAATTTAAATTTGATTGGCAAATTCAAAAATCGACAATATTAAACTATATACAGTCAATTTATGTAACGAAAATCATAGAGATTTATTAATATCATCGTTTTTTTTACACCTCAAGGTGATTTCATTGTGGTTTCTAAGGTAATAGTCGCGAAATCATCCCATATTATTGGTTGATTTGGATGACAGCACGATATTTGTGAATTATGTGTATGATTTTAGCGGTTTTATTAATTAGCTTTGATATTGAATTAAGTAAATAAGTAGTTGGTCGATAGACGCCATGCGCTCTTTTTTTACACACTCTCTGTCTGTTTGTGTGTGAAACCCAGAAAAAATTGTCAAATATTAAATGGTAATAAATCATAAAATGGTCCTTTTGGCGCGATTTCACGCCGAATTTTGTTATATACACCAACAACAATAAACCATCTCGCTGACTTTAATGCTTATTTATGGTACCACTTCTGTAGCGCGCTTTGATTTTGGCATTTAAGACTAGTGCATATGTATGAAAACAAAGAGTGCGCAAAAAACAGCCACATTCAGAATGAAATCTCATGATGAAAAAATGGCCACAAATCATGAAAATATTTAGATTCGTATTTGGGTTTATTTCCATTTCGAATGTAATATTCAAACGCGGAATTCACGTTTTTTTTTGTTGTGCAAGAAGTTAATTTTACTTTTATATCGAAGAATGTGGCACAATATACAGGTGAGCATGCACAACGGAAATTGTTTGCACATAAGCAAATGTCGGCAGGAAAATCGCACGATAGTATAGCCGATTTTTCCCCTTCATTATCAATAACTTCACGCTTCATTAACTAAGCTTCGCTACCGACTACTTGACAATAGGGCAAATAAGTTTGCAGCTCGTATTTCGGTCGAATACATTACAAAGAAATGAAAATATACATGTGGGAAAATTTAGTCACGCTTTATCAATATAACGGCCTATAAATATGAGGAAAAAAAGAAAATCCATGTTGTTATCGATATAAATATCATCGAAAGATTCATGCTCAAATATAATATATGTTTGTGTAACAACAGAATAAACACTAATATAATGAAAATGTTACAGCTGATATATGTATCATCAAGCTTTAAAATTGTTTTCGGTTTGTTTGTACCACGTATTATTCAAACAAGCCTATTTTTTCGGATTTCTGCGATCAATTCACAAAAGCAATTTTTTCATTTTTTTAACTTGAAATTTCAGACAAAAGTCGATATAACTAGAGTTCAAATCTTGCAATTTTGATTAAAAATGCTCAGTTTTTTCGGCAGACTCTTGAGGGCTAGAAATAGTTTTTGATTTCAATTCGTTTATATATGGTAGTGTATTTCTGTTTATTTTATTTAGTTTTTTCCATCAATTTGCTGCAAACCTACATGAAATATTTAGATTGAGAAGGAAAAACAATGAATTGATGCAATTTCATTTAAAATAATTTCACAAGATGTTTTTCTAATATTCCAATAAAAAAATGAAAAAAAAGTAGAATTTTGAGTTCAGAAAAGGAATCTTCTGTAAAACGTGTTTTTCTGTAAAAAAATGTTGCCTTTCAAGGCCAGAAAATGTTTATTTCCATACTAAAAGCATTGCACAAAAGTGAAAATATTAACGAAGAAATCATGTCGTTGATAAAGAATGTATTTCTATGGCATGTGATGATATGACAAGTATCGTTATCTCTTGATTCGGTTGCCATTCCCAAGCTTCCAATTTGATAAAAGCACTTTTTCGTCGGCATCATAAAATTCCTAATGTTATCTACCGCTAGAAAAGA